CACAAACACAGACAGGGACAATCAGACTCACAAACACAGAGACATCCAGACTCACAAACACAGACAGAGACAACCAAACTCACAAACACACACAGGGACAATCACTGACTCAGTATGAAGACAGACGATCAGACTCACAGACACAGACAATCAGACTCACAAACACAGACAGGGACAATCAGACTCACAAATGCAGACAGAGACAACCAGACTCACAAACACGGACAGAGTCAACCTGACTCAGTATGAAGACAGACAATCAGACTCACAAACACAGATACATCCAGACTCACAAACACAGACAGGGACAATCAGACTCACAAATGCAGACAGAGACAATCACTGACTCAGTATGAAGACAGACGATCAGACTCACAGACACAGACAATCAGACTCACAAACACAGACAGGGACAATCAGACTCACAAACACAGACAGAGACAATCAGACTCACAAACACAGACAGAGACAATCAGACTCACAAACACAGACAGAGACAATCAGACTCACAAACACAGACAGAGACAATCAGACTCACAAACACAGAGACATCCAGACTCACAAACACAGACAGAGACAACCAGACTCACAAACACACACAGGGACAATCAGACTCACAAACACAGACAGAGACATCCAGACTCACAAACACAGACAGAGACAATCAGACTCACAAACACAGACAGAGACAATCAGACTCACAAACACAGACAGAGACATCCAGACTCACAAACACAGAGACATCCAGACTCACAAACACAGACAGAGACAATCACTGACTCAGTATGAAGACAGACGATCAGACTCACAGACACAGACAATCAGACTCACAAACACAGACAGGGACAATCAGACTCACAAATGCAGACAGAGACAATCAGACTCACAAACACGGACAGAGTCAACCTGACTCAGTATGAAGACAGACAATCAGACTCACAAACACAGAGACATCCAGACTCACAAACACAGACAGGGACAATCAGACTCACAAATGCAGACAGAGACAATCAGACTCACAAACACAGACAGAGACAATCAGACTCACAAACACAGACAGAGACAATCAGACTCACAAACACAGACAGAGACAATCAGACTCAGAAACACAGAGACATCCAGACTCACAAACACAGACGGAGACAATCAGACTCACAATCACAGACAGAGACAACCAGACTCACAAACACAGACAGAGACAATCAGACTCACAAACATAGACAGGGACAATCAGACTCACAAACACAGACAGAGACAATCAGACTCACAAACACAGACAGAGACAATCAGACTCACAAACACAGACAGAGACAATCAGACTCACAAACACAGACAGAGACAATCAGACTCACAAACACAGACAGAGACAATCAGACTCACAAACACAGACAGAGACAATCAGACTCACAAACACAGAGACATCCAGACTCAAACACAGACGGAGACAATCAGACTCACAATCACAGACAGAGACAACCAGACTCACAAACACAGACAGAGACAATCAGACTCACAAATGCAGACAGAGACAATCACTGACTCAGTATGAAGACAGACGATCAGACTCACAGACACAGACAACCAGACTCTCAAACACAGACAGAGACAATCAGACTCACAAATGCAGACAGAGACAATCACTGACTCAGTATGAAGACAGACGATCAGACGATCAGACACAGACAATCAGACTCACAAACACAGACAGGGACAATCAGACTCACAAACACAGACAGAGACAATCAGACTCACAAACACAGACAGAGACAATCAGACTCACAAACACAGACAGAGACAATCAGACTCACAAACACAGACAGAGACAATCAGACTCACAAACACAGACAGAGACAATCAGACTCACAAACACAGAGACATCCAGACTCACAAACACAGACGGAGACAATCAGACTCACAATCACAGACAGAGACAACCAGACTCACAAACACAGACAGAAACAATCAGACTCACAAATGCAGACAGAGACAATCACTGACTCAGTATGAAGACAGACGATCAGACTCACAGACACAGACAACCAGACTCTCAAACACAGACAGAGACAATCAGACTCACAAATGCAGACAGAGACAATCACTGACTCAGTATGAAGACAGACGATCAGACTCACAGACACAGACAACCAGACTCTCAAACACAGACAGAGACAACCAGATTCACAAACACAGAGACAATCAGCCTCACAAACACGGACAGAGACAATCAGACTCACAAACACAGAGACAACCAGACTCACAAACACAGACAGAGACAACCAGATTCACAAACACAGACAGAGACAATCAGACTCACAGACACAGACAGAGACAACCTGACTCACAATCACAGACAGAGACAATCAGACTCACAAACACAGAGACAACCAGACTCACAAACACAGACAGAGACAATCAGACTCACAAACACAGACAGGGACAATCAGACTCACAAACACAGACAGAGACAACCAGATTCACAAACACAGACAGAGACAATCAGACTCACAAACACAGACAGAGACAACCAGACTCACAATCACAGACAGAGACAATCAGACTCACAAATGCAGACAGAGACAATCACTGACTCAGTATGAAGACAGACGATCAGACTCACAGACACAGACAACCAGACTCTCAAACACAGACAGAGACAATCAGACTCACAAATGCAGACAGAGACAATCACTGACTCAGTATGAAGACAGACGATCAGACTCACAGACACAGACAACCAGACTCTCAAACACAGACAGAGACAATCAGACTCACAAACACAGACAGAGACAATCAGACTCACAAATGCAGACAGAGACAATCAGACTCACAAACACAGACAGGGACAATCAGACTCACAAACACAGACAGAGACAACCAGATTCACAAACACAGACAGAGACAATCAGACTCACAGACAGAGACAACCAGATTCACAAACACAGAGACAACCAGACTCACAGACAGAGACAATCAGACTCACAAACACAAACAGAGACAACCTGACTCACAAACACAGACAGAGACAATCAGACTCACAAACACAGACAGAGACAATCAGACTCACAAACACAGACAGAGACAATCAGACTCACAAACACAGACAGAGACAACCTGACTCACAAACACAGACAGAGACAATCAGACTCACAAATGCAGACAGAGACAATCACTGACTCAGTATGAAGACAGACGATCAGACTCACAGACACAGACAACCAGACTCACAAACACAGACAGAGACAATCAGACTCACAAACACAGAGACAACCAGACTCACGAACACAGACAGAGACAATCAGACTCACAAACACAGACAGAGACAACCAGATTCACAAACACAGAGACAACCAGACTCACGAACACAGACAGAGACAATCAGACTCACAAACACAGACAGAGACAACCTGACTCACAAACACAGACAGGGAAAATCAGACTCACAAACACAGACAGAGACAACCAGATTCACAAACACAGAGACAACCAGACTCACGAACACAGACAGAGACAATCAGACTCACAAACACAGACAGAGACAACCTGACTCACAAACACAGACAGAGACAATCAGACTCACAAACACAGACAGAGATAATCAGACTCACAAACACAGACAGAGACAATCAGACTCACAAACACAGACAGAGACAACCTGACTCACAAACACAGACAGAGACAATCAGACTCACAAACACAAACACAGACAACCAGACTCTCAAACACAGACAGAGACAACCAGACTCTCAAACACAGACAACCTGACTCACAAACACAGACAGAAACAACCAGACTCACAAACACAGACAGAGACAATCAGACTCACAAACACAGACAACCCGACTCACAAACACAGACAACCAGACTCACAAACACAGACAGAGACAATCAGACATAGGCAGAGACAATCAAACTCCCAAACACTCACTGTTGGAGAGATACAAAATTGCAAATGGAGACATTAAACTGAGACAAAGATGGAGACAATCACAGATAGAGACAGATGTTCAGCAACATACACAGATGAAGACTCCTCAGTCTTGGGCAGCTTTGTATACAGTTGGTCTGAGTTGGGGATGATCGCAGAACATTTTCCCAGCTGAATACCAGGGATTTATCTAGAATTTTCAACTAAGTGCCGTTAGCAGGCAAATTAAAGGGAAAGAGTATTACTTTGTCCACTTTGGGGAATTTTCATAAAGTCCCATTTCCTGAGTTAGTTTAGCATTGATATAACATGCTACTCGGTATTAACCGTGTTAAACCTATTATCAGTGAAATCCAGGACACCATGAAAAAACTAAAACACAAGTTGTTATTATGCAACCTGTATTGCGAATGTTGATTCCATCTTTGAGATTTTTTACAGATATTTGTTGTAGACACCTGAGCATGCCTAGATTAATCCTTTCAGGGATTCAGATGCATGTACAGATACAGACAGAATGAGTGAACAAGTTAGGACTTGATGTGGCATCTACAATATTTTCACGAAAACCACCCAAGACACAGCAGAAGTAAAGTTAATCAATTTAAGCAAATTGTGCACAAAATTCTACAGCTTTTATATTTCTAATGAGGCCCGGGCCCCACCCCTACAAGTGTGACTGACAAGTGTACCGACTACACAAACACCATCTGGTCAAAACATCCTTCAGACATACCAGAAAATATTTTACTATCATCTATTATCTGTATCCACTTACACTGGTGGGCCTGGCAGGGGACTAAGTCAACAGATTGGGGCTGCTTTTGTCCCCACCTGATATTACTCCATTCCAAAACATTTTCATTCTGACACTTTCTTCACTTGCAAGGGCGGGGCCCATTGTGATAATGCCATATCATAACTGTCCCAAGGCCTCTGATTGGCCGACTCCAGTGATGCTGGACTCCATGTAGACTCCATAATGGTCACTCTATCTGCTTGCTCTGTCATTGTACCAGTGGGGCACATTTTAATTGATATCTACTTTATCTTCATCCCCATCTTTTGTTTTCAGACCCCAGGAAAACCAGAGGGGAGTCAAGGTGGGAACGTGTGAGTGGTAAAAAGAGAGGAAGTTGTCGAGATGCAAGACATCGGAAGAAAAAACGTCAAGCTTGTCTGTTACTGCCAGATACTGGTTGTATTTACTACTAAATATTTTCCTTTTACTTATACCGCTCTGTGATAAACAGTGATAAAACTTGTAGCATTGAAGTTCTCGTTTAGAGGTAACAGGGCTGTTGCTTAAGAGACTGGTATCTCTTTAAACATGTCATATTTTGTGTACCGGGTATTTCTTTATATTTTTTGTGATGAAACAAAAATGAGCAATTCAAGTTACTGGACACTTTTATCATGAATCAGATTTAAGTTTGGCAAATGTGTTAACATTATCGGCAGCGACAGAGGTATCAGGTTGAACATTCCCTGAGGCACTGTGAGATTATCTCAGTTGTGTCATGCCCGCCATGTTTTACAACTTGTGCCGTTAAGCATTGAATAAATTGTTGGCGGCATTCCGCGATGGTAGATCAACAGGATATCTGTAAGGATATGCAAAAACGTTTTGAAGCTTGACTTTTGATTCATATTAGAGGTTAATATGAGCATAATGAACCAGGTCCAGATTGTACTGATGTTTGAAATTACAAGTCTCAGATATTTTGGTTTGGCTAATTATCAATTACGAACAAAATCAAGGTGTAACATGGTGGTTTAATGCTCTCATTTTTTGTATGATAGATTATTGAGAGGCACATCATACTGGTGACAGCCCTAGGGTAAAAATGAATTCACATTTAGATCCATATCTTCACTACTTTCCTCCGAATGAGTGTTTACTTCTGGGTTGCTTAAATATTGTTTTTTCAAGTGTCATAGCCTTGACCTGTTTTAGGATGAAAATAGACTACAAAGTTATATTGTCCTTGATATTTTTTTATCCTCATAATTTCTTTTTGATCTTTGTAAACAAATGTGTGTGCTAATTATATGAACACTGCATGTTTGTGTTTGTGCACAGTCAAGATCTGTGTGCCAAATAGCCTGTTGTTTAATGTGCCCAGTGAATAATTATTGAATTAAATTGTGCTTTTCATTAACCTGTGATATGTAACTAATGCCAGGACATGTATGTGAATGATGCTTTGAATGTTTGTCCTCCAAACTCGGCTTAGTCTTTCTGCTAGTCAGACATCCAGGACATTGAACCAGTCTGTATCACTGATCTCAATATTGGGGATAGCACAATGGGAAGTGTGCTTGGTCAGGACCACTGGGTTTAATTCTCAACATAGAACCAAATTGTGGAAAGTGATTGATGGTGACTCCTGTCTGTTAAATATTTAAGGAACTTAGGAAGCCTTTTTTGTTTAGTATGCTCAGCTTGTAATATACTAACACTAAATTCCAAATAGAATGACGACAAGAGAGTTTGGGCCACATTGACACATTCCAAACGAACCATATTATCTGTTGTTAATTGTGTCATTTCCCCCAAATTATATGTTTTCAAGAAACTGTTTATGCAATGATTTGAAAAATTAAGGATCTTGTGAGGATGTTGATGAAAAAAATTTCATTTGTTCCATATTGATGATAAAAGACTTGAGTATTTTGAATAAAAGAATTATTTCGTCTGCCTAAATCAAGTATGGACTTACCACTGACCGTTGCATCTGGGAGCTGATCATCATTTGGGGAACATCACTTCTGTGGATGATCATTGAGTAATTCTGTAACAGAGAAAACAACTACCGGTAAACACAGGCACACTTTCAAGAAATGAAATTTCTACTCACCTAAAGTATACATTTTGATTTTTTTGAGTGAGTGGGTGAGTGCAATATTTTCCCACCATAATAATATTAACATTTTAACAAGTACGACTTCATCGAGAGGTTTAACCATATATTGAACAGAAGTATAAATTGTCTATCCACATGGTTTCAGTGTACCTATTAGTCTTCACGCAGGTAGAACCACACTGTTATTTGTGGGGAGGAGATGGTAAGAAACAATGCCCTCATCTGTGCAAAATGAACAACATTAATATATACTACTCAAAAGAAGTTAAGGATCACCTGATTCTTTCATATTACTACAGTTAATCTCTCATGTCATGACAAATTAACTCTACCATTATGAAAGAATCGGGTGATCCTTAACTTCTTTTGAGTAGTATACTTGATTAAGGATCATGTGACTTGTCTTAACACATTTTCTAATTAAGATCAAGTATCATGTCGAGAGTGCTACAATCATTGCTGAGGTAATAGTTATATAACGAGATGAGAACATTCACTGTCAAACATCAGTGAGTGAATGAGTGAGTGAGTTGGGTTTAACGCCGCTTTTAACAGTATTCCAGTCATATCGCTGCGTGTCAGCTTAATGTGGGAGGAAAGCCTGAAGTGATGCAGGTTTCAGATGTTTACCACTTCGGTGAAACCCACAAGCACGGGTATGGTGCTGACAAACCTGGAAACATAATTGGGGCGAACCGGGATTCATCCCCACAATCATAGGTTTCTGGCGTGCCCAAGGGACGCAACTCTGCACAGCGAATCGCGGTGCCTTAGACCACTGGGCCATCCGCGCCGCCTGTCAAACATCAGTGCCGAGCTGACTTTCATATGCTGGTTGACATCTCCATATAAACCCGAAACAGCTGGGGAAAAACATGAGGTTTTCCACCCTGGCTATAATACGAGTCCCTTTTCATACCGTCACATGCCAGGTACCAAATACTTGTATTATTGATGGCGATGTATGGTATGATCAAACATGGCTCCTATAGGTTTCTGTCTACTTTATGGGATATGTAACTGCCTGGTTGTATCCCATTTGAGGAGTCAATGCTCATGACGTCAATCACTGGATTGTCTGGTCCAGCGAGATAACAGACCACCGTCATATAGCTGAGTGCATCATTAAAGGACAAACAAAAACAAAATGGTTGGAAACTAAGTGTTATATACTATACCTGTATTTATGTACTAAATGCATCATGTGAAAGGCTCTCATTGTGGGGTAATTCACTACATATTTATCTACTCTCTTTTTTGTAATGACAATATTTTTAACAGTAATTACTTGTGACTGGTTTTGTGTGTATTCTATGTTACTGAGGCCACAGTTGCTACACTTTGTAGTTTACAGATTCTTGGTAATTCTGTAACTAGCTTTCGTATTTCGAAATATAAATACTGGCGTAAACAAACTATTTTCATTTTGTTTGATGATTGTGGATTTTGGCTCATCAGTAGAATCTGTAAACCGTAAGTGTTGCCATAGTTATGTTTCCATGGGAGCAAGATTGTGTTCTTTCTATCTCATGTAGTGTGTTCTGTATTATAGATTATAGTAATACTAAACACAAGAATGACATCAATTGTTTTATGTCATTGGAAATATTTTTTTCCATTTAAATATTTCATTATGTTACATATTCATTTAGAAGTATTAATATACATTAAAACATTATGATTCTAATTAAATATATCACATTAAATTAAGTACGCTAACTCCTCATCTCCTCATCGAAGTTGTTGTATTTGTAACTTTTCACTATTTTTCTGAGCCAATAAACCAAGAATCATATTCAAAAAGACATATGTTTTCTCATGGTCAAGTAAATGAAAAATGCAAGTAAAAGAATTCAAAGTAAATCTTTATGAAATATTCTGTGCATCACACTGTTTAATTATAATTTACAGAATTATTTACTCTGTACTTCTGATAGGCACACACAGCATTAGAAATTGGCACTAGTCCTGTAGTCCTTACCAAACTGCGCAATAGTAAAGGTATCCTAAGGACTAGTAGAAATTGGCCCCTTTTAAGGGTTTTGCTATATGTTATCATTATAAGGACTAGTGGACGAAAACTGTTAGTTTCTAACCCTGCACACATAAAATATATAACTGCCCTCATGTAGCTGGAATATTGCAGAGTGTGGCATTAAACAACAAACAAACAAACAAACAACATTAACCTGGATAAGGGAGCTGCTCCTAACAGATATGGGTTGGTAGGTTAGCAAATAGTAATATGATTTTTGTTGAGTTCAGTGACTACAAAATTCAAAAGATGGTTTGGGGTGTTGGTGGACATCCTTTTCTGTCCCTGGATTTTGAATTTTGATCCTCAAAACACCGTGGATACCTCATAACGTATGATAGTTACAAATAGAACATTTCAGGGTCATGAGTAATGGCTGAGAAGGCTAGGTTACCAGAAACACAACTACCGTATTCGACGTAATAAGCGCCCCGCTCTAATAAGCCCCCATGGCGATATTTGTTAATATATTGGCTAGTGAACAATCCCAATTAGCACCCCTTCCGATTGATCAATGTACACAAGACTTATTTATTCGTGTATAATACGCACTCGTGTGTTATATGCATCCTTAATTATGGGCAATTAAATTCTGGAAAAATATATCTGTCGTATATAAACATGTCAGGCTGTCAGCATAAACCACGAAATTTATCTTTCACCTGGTTTTTTTCCACCAAAATACCATTCTAATAAGAGCCCCCTATTTCTAATTTTGAGAGCGCCCTGGACGCTTATTACGTCGAATACGGTATCCATTGTTTGGCCAACGGTCAATATGACCATATATAGAGGTTAAAGGTATCATTCCGGCGCAAGACCACCCACAATAAAAATGTCTGTCTAAAATTAAAACCTTGTCTCTTTTTAATCCACTGATTACTATTGAAGGTGTATGCAATATGGTTTGAATTGTACTTGATACACTGGATAAATATTCACCCTCATCTTGACCCTCTCTTTACATACCTCTGCATGACTTTGCTTGCAACTTGCCAACATCTCTTTTATATTGAATGATGGTGATTATAGCTAAAATGGATAGAATTATCATTAAACCCCCGGCATGTTATCAGAAATCGACGGGCCACTGTAACTTGATAATGCCCTCATATTACTTGACGACAGGCCATTATCACGCCTGTTGTTAGGTGACGTCATAGCGTAGGGGTAGTGATGTCACGTTTAATAGTGATGTCATCTGGATTGTTCTATGACGTTTCCATGTTTGTAAAAGTGGGTCAGTGACATTGTGTTGATTGTTTCAAAACCGATATTGTTGTTTCCTTTTATTTGATGACAAATTCCATCCATTTTAGCAATAATAACAGTAACACTTTTTTTCAGGGCATTATCATTTGCAGAAGCCCTCAGCCTTTTCAACTGCACTCCTTCATGGGGCAGTTAATGGAAGACCTCGGGCTTCTGCAAATGATAATGCCCTGAAAAATAGCGTTACCCTTATACTATAAGGATTTTAATAGCATGAGACATTCAACCAAGTGAACTATCCTTTGATAAAACTATGATAAAACACATTCACCATGTCGTGATGCCAATTGCTGCTGTGCTGATTCATTGTAACAGATATGCAGGTTCCATGCACACCAGCTGTGATTCTGTAGGATAAAATTGCAAAAAATTGCAAAGTGTTTTGTCTTTTTTGTGAAGTGGACATGACATTGCCTTTGATGTTTCCTTTGAAGGAAGCTGCCATCACAAGGAATGATAACTGAAGTTCAGCATCTGTTGGAGGTGACACAAGGCTGTAGGAAATGTCTGATTAGATTTTAAGCAAATTAGCAAAAAGCTGATGGCTTGTGGTTACCAAGTACATCTTGATAAATGAGCCTGAACTGTATGTTTTTTTATTGGTGTTTCTAGAGAAACCTAACAACATAAATGTTGATGAATACTTAATTATATCTTGTCCCAACTTTGAAGACTAATAACTGAAATTAAACTATGCATAACCCATTACCAGACGGCACAACTTCACCTTGAGGTGGACATGCACTGACTGATTCAAGCAACCCTGGACAACCCAGAATTGAAATCGACTTTCTTGTATTCTAAATCTGGCACAATTACTTGAAATTATTCACTTTAGATGGCGTTAAAAGCACTTTGGAACAAATCTTCAAATTTTATATCCGTAACATGAGGACAATGCAGACTACTTCATTTTGAACATCATTAGAAGCATCAGATCTTGAAACACTAATCTGTGCCACTCGATATATGCCAGATGCATTAAATGGTCTGTTGTTCGTTGTCCCGAAATATCGCGGATATACCTTGGTTCAATGCGGGCTGTTGCGTGTAGACAGCTCCGGCACTGCTCTCGTAAATCGATGTAATTGTTGTCGTCTTTTCTGAACCAGTGCACGTAATTACAAGGGTGTTTTAAGGCGATCTGCATGCCAACCTTTGATGTAGGAAGCTTCGAATTGTATCGTCTGCTCCCCCAGCGTACGACCGGAACTTGCATTACGTAACGTGCGCCGAGGCGTATGGGTTGTTGGGTACTCTCCAGACACCCGAACCGGCAACGCAAATGGCGTAACGAATATCTTCTGACCTGCTTACTCATTAAATGAGGAAAACTCGTTTTGGTCCGGTTTTCGAATTACAGTACCAGATTGATTAATGGCGTGATTGCCCTTACGTAACTGTTTGTGGCTTAATTTGGAAGCAGTAGTGGTTTTCCATAATACCCGTGCTGCTATTTAGCTTAACAGGAATATGTAGTGAAAACAGTGCTTGTCGACAAATATACAAAAAGTAAGGCTATTTAAATCATATCCTTGTTTCTCGTTACCCTTGGAAAACATTCGGTTTTGTTTTAGTTTATTTTCTGCAGTACTACACACGGCATTTAGAAGATGCAATGCTTGTTTGGTCAACATTCACTGTTAATAAAATTAATTCGGGAACGAAATTACCATTGAAAAGAATGTAAACAATCCACGGTCAAGTTGAATGCTTGTGTCCTGAATATACACGTTGGATGACTTGAATACGACAGTTATTTAATTACAAGCGACAAAACCCTTTCCATAGCCAAATTTAGGCAATCTCTGCTAAAATCAGAGTCGATTGTATATGTTTATTGAATCACTATGAATCAAATAGTGATGATACCAGGCGTTCGCGAAAAGGTGAACGTATCCTACCTCACCGTTGAGGCCCGACACAAACGCATGCAAATTCGCCAGAAAAATTCGGGAACATATGGTACAAACCAAAATAGGGTATTGCATCGGACATAATTTTTGTCACTACTGCGTCAGATGTTTTACCCGATAAATCGTCGTGATTCTTGGAACACGAGTTGACCGTGCAGCAGTGCATTTTAGTACACCATTGGGGTGTTTCGATAGAGACAATTACGAAAAGAGTGTCGGCGATAGAATCACCAATCCTCGACTATCCAGTGTTTTATTTTGTCTGCATTCAATTATGATACATATTTAGAATGGAAATGTTATGTTGGAGGATGACAAGCACCTTTGGAGATATCTTCATGAGACCATGCACACATATACTCAGCATCATTTTTAAAGGGTCACCTAGGTATGTGGGTTGTCGAGCAT